GCGATATAGGCGAGAAAAACATTCAAAAAACAGTTAATCAGCCACGTTTGCAGCGACTATCGTGCGCGGTAATATTTCCTATACAGGAATAATTTTGCTCAACGTCATCGGGGTTACGGAACGGTGACCACAAAGAGACAGCTCAGTCTTATATCATAACAAATTCTTTAATCTGTGGTTTGTTGTATAAAGTTTTAATATTGAATTGTGTAATAGATTCTAGAGAAAATTGCATACAAAATTTCAAAACTTGGGACGGTTTTCTTTTATCATATACATTTTTTTTTGAAAATTTAAGAAAAATTTTTAAAAACTTTTTTCTCTTTTAATAAAAATGTTAATTCAGATTTCAAAGGAATATATAATAAAAGCACTGTTTCTTTTCTCTCTTTTTTTCCTGCAATTAATGAAAACACTTCTCCAATTATTACGACTTCTCAAACTGTCCTAAAGTGTTGATTTGCGCTAGTCATCGATAAACAAATATTTATATATACATCATGTATTGCACGGCATATATACATGCATGTATATATGTGTATGTATGTATGTGTACCTACAATCTTATCGAGTTGCAACAAGAGGCATTCAAGATCATTTGATTTTTTGTGAACGTCGGGCACAAAATTGCTGGTTGTTTCGCTGAAGGAGATATCAAAATACAACAAAAAGAATAATACACATGAAAATTGTAGAAAACCAAAGTGTATAAAAAATCGATGACTCAAAAAAAAAAAATGCAAAGGGAACAATAATAAAAAAAGCTAATCAAGGAGGCATACGCGTTTTCGGAAGCAGAACAAGAAAAAGAAATCATGTCATCAAACATTAAGCATAGGATAAATAATTATTAAAAAAAAATAAAAGATAAAAGAAGGAAAAGATTAACGACGAAAGTTGAATAAAACAGCGATAGACGAGAGAAAGTGCAGCGAATGCGACACAAAAATATAATAAACGATACGCAAATGCATGAAAACAAGAAGAAATAGAGATATGAAAATTAAAGATTAAAATAACACAAATAAAAAAATTTATATCAAGCACAAATATACAAGCGATTTTTGCAAGGTATCAAAACAATGATATATAATTAGATACAAAAGTTAGATGCAACAAAAGTTAGATGCAGATAGCAATAAATCTCGTAAGAATATTCATGTATGACTCTCGATCTTGCCAGTACACAAGTCGTTTAAACTTCGGGATTTAATACAAAATAATTGAAATAAAAAATATTCTCTATAACTTTCCTTAAATTGTTGTCGGATAATTGATCAAAACAACTAATCAGCGCACTTATGTATAAAAAAATATAAAAGTTCTAATATACTTCGTAAATAAAAAAATGTAGAAGACAAAATGTAAGAAGATTAGACAGAGCATATCGTCATTTCAAAACAAGACGCGGATTAATAGAATCGCAAAGTGACGGAAAGACTCGGCGAGACTCGCGAAGGAAGGAAATTCGCAGGAACGAATTTTCAAAGATCGTTCCCTGCAACGGGACCGAGATGCTCGAACAGAAGAGACAAGAGGTCGTTGATGATAACCCGTCGCGAATATGATACCGGTCAGTCATTTTTTTTTTTTTTTTAGCACTCTTTCAATGCTATTTTCTATTCAAGTTCGACAGCGGCCGATATCGAAATTTAATTGTTGTTGGGTACACGCGTTTTACGCACGGTACTTGTGTACCGTACGTAAAAAGCATCATGTTATCCAGTTTAATATATATTTTTTTTTTTCATTAAATCGTTCCGGTTATTAATCTCACCGATAATGCCGGACAGTGGCGTAACTTTCGAACTCTCGCTCGCGCTTCGTCACGCTTGTTATCTGCATAATGCTAAATATATGCGAGCTTATTTTCAATCGTTGCAATGGCAAGATCAGTTTAGAAAGCAAACGACATTGATTGACACACTTTAACATACGGCGGAAGATACGACGGCTTAGTAAGAGTAGATTGTCGTGTTAATTATAAATTCATAATCTAAACTCTTTATAAATAAATGTGATTTACAAACAAGAGGCTGTGATCGATACATCGGCCATATACAATGTATGACATGTATCACCAATTATTTTAATAAATTATTAATAATATTATATAATAAAGAAATACTAGTATAACAATTTTTCATCGACAATTATTTGAATTTTAATGATACGGCACTCGTGCTTAATTATTAATAAATTCTCCAGCTTATTTGCCTCTCTGTAATTTATCTTCGATATAAACTGAAATAGTAATATATATAGAAGCAACAGCCCTCGAGCAATCGTAATTAGTCACCTACCCGATGCGACGGTAATATGCAATGCGAAACCGTTGCAAAAACTTTGATCTTGGACTGTCTCACCTATTCCGATTGCAGTACTGGAAAATAAAGCTATAATTGGCGCGATAATAATAAGCGGCAACGCTTATATCGGAATGCCAAAGTGTCTGAAATCACGCGATACGCGATAATCGTGCATAATATGGTAGTCAATGCGCCGGTAGACTCTGTCAAACTCGCCGTCGTCGATATAGATGCGCGCGGAAGGCGCACAAAAATTACGCTAATAAAATTCAAATTTCGAGTCCCATAACCAAGGACCGATCGGTTTCTCGTCGTTGCTCCTAAGCAGGTCGTTGATCTTATTTTGTTTATTTATTTATTTATTTATTTTTTTTTTGCGAACACACGGAGGCCCTAATAGCGGGTTGCGGTCCTACCGCCATTATTACGTGTTTAGCGGCAAGTGGCTCGAAGGCACTTTCGTTCGAGGGACTCGTGCGGCGACGGACCGCGTTTGGAGCTCCTTCTGCTCCTTAACAAGTGTATATTATACATGGAATACATACGGGGTGTCCCCGAAAACACGCAATGTTCTTAAGCTTTTACTAGTCGTCGAGAGTGAAGGTTATGAATTTTAATATTTCCAATTCTTTTTAGTACAGTACACTTTGCAGATATATTTTTTAATAAATTATTTGTATGCTTTCTCATGTTTCTATTAAAATTGTGATCAACAAAATTTATATTATTACAGAAGATATATCAGGATTAATTAAAAATAAAAATATTTATTGTCGTATGTTACAATTATGATCAATGATGTTTCCGATTCAATTCTTGCCCAGAAAAACTGTGAAAAACTGCCGAAAGATTCAAAATGTACGAATTCTGAGCCACCTAGTGTAAGGTATTATATATATAGGGATTAAGGGGAGAGAGAGGTCGGAGCCTCGATAAGGCTTATTATCGCCTTGCGAAAACTCTCAAAGCGACAAAGTGAGATCAAATTTTAAATCAAAGTTGTTAGAAGATGCACCAAAAATCGAAGAAAGCCTAAAATCACTATCGATAATTAAAGAGCTCAATTTTAGTCAGCATTAACCATAGATTCATTAATATATAAAGCACTTAGAATAACGCGTTATATTAATAAGACTAAATTGATATAACAATTTTAGATAGCAAATTATTCGGTTATAGAAATTCTATAAACAAAAAAGTAGAAGAATAAAAAAAAAAAGATTTTCTAAGCTCTAATGTTTAAAATTAATCAAATAAATTTTATAGAAATGTTAAATACTCATCTCGAATGCTATTCGTTTCGATTGTTATATACAAAAAGATATTAAAATGAGAAACTTAAAAATCTTTATTCGAGATCAAAATATGTTACAAAATTACATTATTTTTTATACCACGTTTGACGTTACGTCACAAAATTAAATGATATCATGACAAAAAATAAAAAAAAAAGGTATATAAAAGAGAAAATATAAATATTTAAAAAAAATTGTTGAGATTTTAAAGATTGAATATTCAATTTTACAAAATTAGATTTATTTTAATCAATTTTAATTCATTCATATTTCATAAAGATTTACCAAGTTTTCTTTGTTCTGACAATTTGCTTGCAGCATGTACGCGAATTGTCGAATAAATTATAGAGCAATATACATATATCCAATATGTAAAAGAGCGAGTTATATAATTATTACTTCGGTATTACACACAAAGATATATATATATAGTTACATGATCTTTATCAACGGCGATGATACGATGCAATTCAGTACATGTACAATATAGCCATGTATATACGCCGGAGGGATCGCCGAGAATCACTGAAGTTAATTTACTTGAAGTTGCCAAGGAAAACATGATCGGTGTCGCATATGAAATATTATCACTCGCGGTAATTAAATTTGAGCAAACCATGGCTAAAGATTTTATCGTAATCTGGCGCCATGAATAACACTACCTTTTACCAAGTTATGCAACGAGTTTTTGCAACCGTATATCAAAACTGAGTATCTTATAGAAGAATGACCGCAACTCGACTTACATTATATTTGATAATTCATTGCAAAAGATTTTTAATATCGTATACGTTACATCTTGTGTATATTAATTGATTATGTAGAACATGACATTTCTGATAAATTTCCAAATTTGTATTTACTATTAATTTGTTTTTAGATTTATGATTTATGATGTATACCATAAAAATTAAAATTGTAATTAAACTAGTATTTTTTCATGTGAAATTAATATATTGATGACATAATATCTAGATAGAGATCTTGAAATCTTTTATCAAACTTGAGAAAAAAGTAAATCAGACAAAGAATCAAATTCATACTAATATTTTTCTCGTGGAAATAAATAAGAATAAGTTACAAAATCAAATAAAAATATTTAAAATTACATGTAAATAAAAAATATGAATAATATTGAAAAAAATATGATTCTAATATAATAATTAAATATAACAATATATAGAATGTTTGGAATTCAAACAAATTATATCTTATAAAATAAAAGATTATATATCTTCCAACAAATATTAAAAAAAGATATATAGAATAAAATGTGAAATGATATTATATATATGAATTTTATTTTCTTATACTACTTATTATGTATCCCTTTGTCTCAGAAAATTCCTGAATATTTTGTATTCCGAAAAATGTAAAAAAAAAAGAAAAAACTTACGCGGTTGCGCCAAGGCAAAGACGCTCTCCGTTTTGGCGGTGTACTCGTCAACTTCTTCGTGGTGTGTGATACCAGGCTCGAGTGGTTGCGGCTGATCGGCCTGCATCCCGTACATGTCCATCAGTTTCGAGATCGGTGGGATCCTAGGCAGCGCCCGGCCTGTCATGTTGGGCGCCTGTTTCAAGCCGAGCTTGTTCAGGATCTGCTCCTTGATGGCCTCCAAACTGAGCGCGCGGATCTCCTCGTGCATCCTGCAGGCGTTGCAAGCGTTACCGGCCATCGCCAAGTGCCGGACATGGGTTCTCTCGATGCCGGGGGCTTCGAAGGCACCGAGGAGGACCAGCGAGAGTAATAGCAGCGCCCTCGTGACCATCTTGTTCAAGGTCGCCCTTGGTTGGATCAACTACGATCGGCCTTCGTCGCGACAGGAATGATCAGATGATCGATAGCATCGTCGCTCGTTCTCCTCGAATTTGTTTTGTGTTCTCTCCGAGACGAATCTTAGATTTTTTCGTAGCTTCGTCTTCTCCTTTCGACGACGGAAATTGTTGATCTTCGATCCTTATAGATCTTCTTCTCTACTTGCTTGTATTTCTTCCTGCGTACCTCCGGCTTCCTTCGCGAAAAGAAGTCTCTCTTCTCGTCGCAGCGCCAGCTTCTTTCTGAACTTGCGCAACCATACGTTCTCCTCTTGCAGAAACTTCCTGATCTCCTTATCGTGGAGATCGTCACCGTGCCCTGAAGACGATGCTTCGCCGCAAGAAGGCAACCGGCCTCGATCACGATCGCGATCCAGTTTCGCTTTCTTCTTTCTTACGTCGTGAAGCTATTAACTCCGTGGGGAATCTCATGAAGTTTCGATAATAAAACAAATCTTTTTGACTTATGCAGAAAATGTGAACGCATCGAAAAAATATTGCTAGGTATTTTCCGAGCGGTTTGCTCCACTTTTTATGGTGTTCACCAAAACCGTTCTTATGCACATCAATCACTACGAGAGAGAAAGAGAGAAAGAAATTCACAAGGCACTTTAGAGTATTCGTCGAGATTTTGTGCAGTGTCCTAAATAGTCTGGAGATCATATAGCCCGGTGCATCTTCGTGACCTTCAACCCCGGCACCAGCCTGCTGTCAGTCCAAGACACGTTGTGACCATTCAGTGACAGATACTGTTTTCTGTCAGTTCACCGGCTTTAGACGTCATGGCGCAAAATCCGACCTGATTACCTCAACCTTCGACGATGGAATCAATCCCTTGCTCGTATCGCGCGACTATTCGTCCCCCTTCCTGTCCGCGACGTTACACTTCCGGTACTCTGACTTGGCCGGCATCACCGGGTATACTACTGTTGCGAGTACCAGCCTCTCGCGCTAATCAGCATCACCCTCGGATTTGCGAGCATTAACCACCGATATATCCAACCGGGATTCCGAAAAGAAGGTGATCGTGTGTGAGGGGCAGCGATGTGACGGACTAGTAGAACCCGATGGATCCTAAGAGCTTGCCGGCTTGTCAAGCACTGAGACAGGAGGCGCGAATTCTCACCGCATATATGTCCGAGGTGGAGGCCTTATCCTCTCTACTTCTTCTTTCTTCTTCCCCCTCCCTCCCTCTCTCTCCCTCTATCCTCACCGCTACTTTGCCATCTCCCTCCTTCGCGCGAACGTCTCTCTTTCTCCGTCTCTTCTCTCCCGTAGTATCTTACGCACTCGCGTTGTAGCGGCCGAACGTATATCTACACCCGCCGCCAACAAATGCCCCCCTTTCCTCCCTCTGTCCACCTCCTCCCTCGCTATTCCCCGCCGCTCCCAACCCTTTCCGTCACCGCTACCGCTACCGCTGTCGCCGTCGCCGTCGCCGTCCTCGCCGCTGCGAATGCCGCCCCCCTCTATTGCCCTCTTATAAGCCCGCGCTCTCGACCGTCGCACCCGGCGCGACCCGCCATATCCCACCGTTCCTCATGTACGAGCCTCTTCTTCGTCCCCTCTGGCCGCGCACGCCACCGCGATTCCCTCGCGAAGTACGTTAGCTTAACACGAAGCTTAGCGTTCTTCCCTACGCGTCGGTTTGCAAATCGTTGACCGACAACGCGACGGTCCGTCAAAGATCGTCACGATCGCCGAAAGGATTCACACGGGCACCGACCGCCGGTCGTGCCACTCGTGCGTTGAAATATCACTGAGGTCCCCCTTCTTATCTTTCTCTCTCTTTCCCTTTCCTTCATCCCTTATGTTAACGAGTTAAATCGACATAATGAGGGATATCGGGATTATATAGCGCGCTCCCCGATTAGTTTACAGAAAAACTGCAAAAGATCAAGGTACCCTTCGAAAAAGGGATAACTCGAACCGACCTGGGGGGAGCGCCCGTTTTAACAACTTAGCATTCAATACACACACACATACACACACGATTGTAACATTTTTAATTGCTTTTCTATCCATATAATTATCTATACAATTCGATATTTGCTTAATTTCTGATATTGATTTTTAAATATTTATTTTATATTGTTGCTGTCACACAAGCTACTATTATTATTACCATTGCAATTATCATTATTATTCCAGCATTGATTTAAAACTGTCATGAGTAACGTCGTATAAAAAAAAGTAGTATATGAAAGTGAAAAAAAAATTTGAAAGTGCGTTCCATGTCGGTCGCTGGCCGCATGAAAATGTTTTATGCATCGTCCGTTAAACGAGAAGCGATCGCATCCGTACAGCTGTGAAATCTTTTTTGTTCCTTTTTAAGCCACGCGCAAGAGATATCGGTGAGCACGCTTACTTTGTCCTACCGTATAAAACTTTCAAATTTACCTTCGGCTGCACACAATGTCGTGCGATCGCGTGCAATTTGTGCACGGTCTTGACCGCGCGCGATCGATCGATCGATCGAATCTTTTTATGCTCAACCGAAATCGAGGGCACGCAGGAACGGGTATATACCACCGGGTCTACGGTTGTCCCATCGATGCACGATAGCGAAATATGACGGCGGAAAAAGGAAGGAGAAAAGAGGGAGGCGTGAAGGGGTTGAGAGATGAAGAGATCGGGTCCAGTAAACGCAAGATAGCTGCGTCTACCCAGGCCTGTCTACGGCATTTGAAATCCAAATAGGGCCTCAAAAAAATTCAAATCCCGCTGCGCGCAATCGAAGATGCACTACGCCGTATATTCTAAACGCCTATCTTTTTGCATTTCGCATACATCTTTCACTCGCGAGAGAAATCCAGAGATCTCGGATAGGCGCGGCCGATTGCATCGGACTCGGATCGTTCCTGTATCGAGTCACGTGCTGCTCTTGGTGAGGTAGATTTTTAAATTGCAAAAAACGTGCGCGAAACGTACTTCGAGTCTTGATGATGTATAGAATAGCCTCCTTCCAGGAAGAACTCTCGAAGATTCTTCTTGAATATTATTTTTAGAGAGAGATAAGTTTATATAAAATCCGTGCCAAAGAGTATGAATTATGTTTTAATTACAACAAGTTTTCGATAAACTGACAGAACGCTTCAAATATAAGAAATAGAAAATAGAAAATAGAAAAAGAAATAAAATTAAAAAAATAAAATTAAAGAAATAAAATATAAGAAATATAAAAAGAAATGCGTGTTCAGGGAGTGCGTATCTAACGGTAGAATAATTTATCTCGATTAAAAGCGACATATTCGTGCGTGTACGCGACTGCCAGAAGGTGAAAAGTGAGAAGAATACTCGTAGTGTCTCATCGAAATCTCCATTGATCGTCAAGTAATGAGTACCTTGATCGGCGACGAACTCTTTCATTATATCCGGTTAAAGTTGAATGATAGGTCGCCCTTACATATACTTTGTAACTGCGCTACTAAGGTGCATTATGTCGTTCAATAAAATTTTATAGCTACCTGATCACACCAATCTCCATATTTTTTTCCTACTTGTTTCATCGTTTCTTGACTGGAATCAATTATAATAATTTGCATCCTCGTGGAGATCCGGAACGGAATTGCTTATAGCTTCGCCGAAGATACCTCGCTTTTGCGATCGCGCGATTCTCCTTTTTGACGAGACTTGATCCGTTAAATCACCGTTATCGGTACAATTCGCGTATACTTTACTTGTTTAGGATCCTTACTTCTTAAAAGAACAAAGGTTCTCTTTCTATAAAAACTAATTATATTTAATTAAAACATAACAAACAAACACAACAAAAGACAGATTTACGTTGTAATTAATCTATCCAATTTAAACAAAAATTAAGATAATGATATATAAATAAACGTTTCAATTTTTACTTTATCATCTTTAGAATTAATAGCGAAAATTATAATGCATTATAAAGATAAAAACAAATCTGATCTTATGGCGATAGAAGCGAGTAGCCCCTTAACGATGACAAAATTTCAAATCAATTATGTACTATTGACATATATAAAGACAAAAAAATAGTAAATTGATAATACTAAAAATATTTTAATATCGGTCTCGTTAATTTAAATTAAAACTTTGCTATTTAAAATTAGCATTAACTTCATTCGGAATAACCTTTTAAGAATAGTTGCAATAGTGCTTCATTGCCGCAGTAATTTCAAAATAGGCTATAATCTATACAAGGCCGACCATATAAAATGTGCAAGGTTGATGAGAGCTGAAAGCGAATTAAGAATATATATCGCATGAATTAATAATTTTATGACCTATTAAGAAATCAACAAATACACTTATATATATAGAATTCTGCACATGAATTCTGCACTTAAATTGCACATAAATCAAATGATACTAACATTATCTTACCCATTCATGCAAATTAAATTTTTATTCCGCATATAAGATTACAAATTAAATTCCAATAGCTCGTATTAATAGTCGTCTTCGTCAGCAGAATGATTCAGCACGCTCTAAGTCGAGTTGCATAAAAAATATCTGTTTCTTGACAGTTGATTTTGCAAATGACTAATTTAACACTTAATTGTCATGACATTCACTTGTTTAAAATTAGAAACTTGCAATGAATAATAGTCTTCTAAGAGGAAATTAACTTGTATGTGTTTCCCGCTATCGTATCTAAGGTCGAAAAAACAGATGTCTGAAGCATTCGATATAAAAATATAAAAGCAATAATATGCACTCAATACATGTTATAGTATACTAAAAAATTATAGAATTAATTATTTGTAACATATATATGATATAGCGTTCGCCAAGCATTGAAGTCTTCATCAGGTACGCCTTACTATCGCTCTTTTTGAACTTACAATAAAAAGCAACGTATGATATTTAGATAATAAATGTAAAGTATTTATTGTTAAATGAATGAATATAAATGAATGAATTTATTTAATCGACTATTATTTGATATTGCAATGATCTGTGCAATAATGTGTAAAGAAAGTTTTTTTATATTTTTGTTTTTATATTTTATCTTTTATCACTGAAAATAAGTTACCGGGGATTCCCAGAGAATTATCACTGTCAAAGTGACTTAAACATCCGACGTAGTTAACTCACATTTTTACGATAATTCGTCGCAAAATTCGTAATATAATGTCGGACCATTAAATACAAACAAAGATATGTTGAATAGTAAACAAACGTTATATATTTTGTTCAATCTTGAAAAGATATAACGTCTCGTGTATATGTGGCACAACACAAATTCTCTCTCTCTTACACTTACCGATAATTGACGGGAGGCAACGAAATGGCAACAATAGCTTTTCACCCCGCACGTCAAACCTGTCAATTATTATTCTATTCACGTGAAAAGGAACAATATGAACTCACACGAACGATTTCCACAGTCTTATTCGCGCAGTAAAATTGGGAACGTCGAAGCGTAAAGTTAAACACCACGATGAAGCATCTCTTTTTATCGGTGCTGCGATATCTCTCTCTCTCGGGTTTTTTCCAACAATATAGATAATTTATTTCTCAACTCTTATTTTTCGTTCGCAAAAATTTGGTGGCAATTTTATTTGCTTTGATTATATCGCGTAACGAACGGCGGTTGCAGGTGATACTCCCATGCGTCCTGGGGGAGATATGTCTCAGATTCTTACGGGACAACCAGGAAAGCAAAATCATCTCGAGCAAACCGGGACACGTTTGGCTTTGGAACGCGATGACGGAGAAATTCGAGCAGCTCGAGGCATTAAAGTGGAACAACACTGCCTTCTGTAGCGTCAACGCTATAAACGACATACGCGGAAAGACCCTCTTCGTCGCCACGGATTTCGTGAGTATCAGGATCTCCGATGATCTTTTGCTTGTCATTAACGTCGTTTTTCCAATTACCAAGTTTTAAACTGCAATGATAGTAACATCATCCGAAGAGAAATATTGTTTTAGAGGAATCCATATATCATCATGAATGTGGATGAGAACGAAGTAACGGGATTAATAGGTGATACCTGGATGGCGTTGGAAGAAGCTTTGAAGTTCAAGTTAGTGTTGTATGATATGCTTGGCTTAAGCATTTAGGTTTTTTTTTTTTTGGAAGATAACATATTTTTTAAATTAAAAATTTATTTGAAATATTTATTCAGAGCAGGGAGCAAAATTTAATTAGATGTTCCAACTTTTGAAAAAGGAAAAAAAATGTCACTATAGAAAGAAAATCACAAATAAAGAATCACAATAATTTATGATTGGTACAAGTAACGTTGACAGCGGACTCGTATAAAGTATTTTAATATTTTATATAAATTTAGATTCACACATGTATGATAGCTATTGAGAATCAAATATCTATGTTGATGTGAGATTTTTCGCTCAAGATTATCTTGGGAGGCCAACAAAGCATCCTCGCTTCCTCTCCCGCGTCACAGTCTGTATATAACTGAAAACAGCTGTAATATCGTCTTGATAGCAATTTATACGGACAATTTTCATGACGACGCGTCTTCAAAGCGGTATGTGTGACGAAGCCGTACGTAGAACCTGCCCAATTTTCCGCGTACCATCCACACCCACGCCGCCGGTGTGGGTCAAAATACTCACATGATTCATTCGTCTAGACAGGTATAAGTATAGTATCAGGATGGGTATAGAACGCGCGGGAGGGAGAAGAGAAAGGGGTAAAAGGGATATGTTATACGGTGTGCGGTAGTCGCGGGAGGAAGGGTGGGGATTGCGTTGGATGTATGTGTGGAGCATCGTAATAAAGGCGTCTCTTCGACCAAAATGCAGGACGATTTACCGAAGTACGAGACCATCGTTGGCGACCCTAATGAATGGAGATACTCACGCACTGTTGGTCGCCACGGCGATGTACTCGTACCCGACGAGTTATTACACCTACAGCGTGCCGCTCACGACCAACTCGTAAGTCGAACACTAGCCGTTAATTCGACTACCAATCCATCCCTTCTTTTAATGCAACGCGCGAGCGACGACTCTTTCGGGAAACATGGAGGGGAACGCGCGCCCTTTTATCGTGAGCTTTCGTCCCGCGACGCAAATGTTTTTTTTCAACTGCCGGTCTTTTACGCCGGTCGTTAACCCGTTCCGGTTAGTCTCTACCGAGATATAATACACTCCGCGATCATATCTTGACTAATGACTTTCTGATTTCGTTTTCTTCTTGTGTGGTGGTCGCGTTCCGCGAAAGAAGTGGAAAGAGTAGACATAAGTTTTCGCATCGCGATCGTTATCCGAAGAAAACTTGCTTATCACGCATACGGCGGTACATGTAACTACGCCAAGATGTTATCGTAGAAGTAAGAGATAATGCGATCTTGTTTTATTTAATTTTAATAATATAAAATTCCCGCTGAACTTCCGGGAACTATATTTTTTAAATTTTTATTTAGATAATGATTAATTAAATTGCGTATTTCTATTGCAATTATTATTAAATTTTCCACCCTTAGATACGCTCTATTTGTTCAGTCGGAGGGTGCGATTGTCACGAGATGGTGGTACATTAATATCTTCAGCCATGGTTTATGGTTGGCGTCTCTGATATCCGTTATATGTATTGCATTTAGCATCGTGGGAATATATCGTATAAAGAAGCTTATCTATGTTAATTATAAGGAGTGCAACGACGAGCTTTCCTCATTATCTTTCAGTTTTCTTTACGTTTTAGGTGGCATGACCGGCCAAGGTAGCGTATATGAGATGTGCATAATACGCATGCAAATAAAAATGAATGATTGATAAACGATAAAATGCGACTGTAAATTGTTACGTTCGTTATGTAGGATTTGAGAAAATACCTAGAAGTTGGTCCCTCCGATTAATAATTCTATCCTTCTTGGCGATGGGAATGTTATTATCATGCGGATTCTGCACTGCTCTTACCTCTTGCCTGGCGAGTAAAGGAAACTCCGTTCCTCTGACTAATCTCAAAGACGTGGTGATGAAAAGGACACACACGCTTTGCGTCAGAAAGGACAGCAGTGCGTACCGTTACTTTACAGTGGTGCGTAAAAGATGGAAATAAAGAAAATGTATAAATATAACACGAACTTTTGCGCAATTTTTCGATTAGAAAGTATAAATGAAAGGGGAAAATCACATGTCAGTGGAACTATATAATATTCTACAGGATAGATCAGCGAAAGGTGATCTGCTAGATCATTGGAAAGGATTGGTGAACAATGACTGTCCCGACATGGAAGACAGCGCGATTTTTGCTTCAAAATTATGCCGTCCTGGTTTCGTCTATTTGGAAACACCTGCCATATTTCAACCAATTTATCATAAAGTTGAGCACAATTGCCACATGATACAACTGCCCGAGACTTACTGGAGTGTTAGATTGGCGTTTCTACACGCCAGAGTAGCGCAACATCGACGACTCTTTGACACTTAGTGAGTATCACTTTTTATCATTTTAACTTTAAATGCAACTTAGTATACATTATTGAAAAAAAGGCTTATTTGTGCGCCAAAATAAAATCGATATTTCGGGAAAGAATTCTCATTTATCGATTCTATAAGAGATTCTCGCTGTCATTCATATCAAAATTAATTAATTATTTATTCTTATACCATTATTATTCTATTCTCTTTATATCATTGTTTATTTTTATTATATACGTAATTTGTGAAATAGCTTAGAATCTATTATGCAAAATATGATTCAAATTGCGTTTATATTATTAATTATGTGAATTTTTTTTATTTGATTCTTAATTTAATACAAGAAATTTGTAACTCTGTCGATAGCTTAATGCGTATGCGTTCGGCTGGAATATTAAGATATCTTGAAAAAAAGTGGATCCCAGAAGAAACTTATAGCCAATCCAATTATCCTCAATCAAGCAATTTTCAACCGGTGGAATACGCGCATATTCATTTAACTATCAATTTTTTCTCCATAATTATCGTTATCAGCGTATTTATTTGCATTTTGGAAAACGTGTGGTATAGGCTGCGATGGAAGCAGAAAAATTTTAATTCAATATTGGAAATAAATGATAACAACCTAAATGTAATAAAGGTATGTCATAAAGCGAGATCAAGATATAAAAGATCTCGAAAGCTCAACTCGATATTATTATCTGAAAATGTGAAAAGTCCTGCATTTCTTCAGAACGTCACAGTACGAACTAATCGATGGTAAAAAATATGGTATTTGTAATTATAAATATATCTAAAATATCCCAGAACGCGCGCGTTATATCAACAATATTATCTCTTTACTTTCGATAAACAAGATAGTCCACACGAGTATTCCAAAGCTAATATCTTTGGCGTGACTTTAGATTCATAAAAAATTACATGCACTTATATGTATAATATAATCAAAATCAAAATTTATTGTAATAAACGATATTGTTTAGCTCGTGTAGCAAGAGAAGATTACAATTGTAATATTTTTATAGTTTTGTGTTTTAATCGCTGCAGGCCGATTACGGTGAAGTTTATGTTTCTTATTAATTAGAAGGCTAAAATTAATAAGCATTAAAAACAAAAATCTATGTCATTCTATTGAAAGACATATACAAGCCTTCTCAATCTCGAAATCGCATTATTTACAAACTCTTTTTAACCTTTATCAATAAAATGTTATAAGTTCTCTTGCATGTAATTATTCAATATATTAATATAACAATATAACTTTCACGAAAAGAAATACAAGAAGAAAATATATATAGAATTATGTTCTGACAATTCTATGTAAGCATGAGAGTCAAACATCCTGCATTTTTACTGCCAATATAGCACCTATATCTCTGTATAAAAAAACTTCATACAATATTTAAACACCGAATTAGAAACGATTATTTTTTGCAGAATACAATACCTAATCTCTTTGCAGTCAAAGATCACATGTAAAAATTTATAAATTCTTTCTATTTAGATTTCAACGCTTTCTCTTTCCCCTTTTTCTTTTTTCCGAGAAAAGCAATCTTAAAAATTAGGTATCCACAATTTCATAAAATAAATCTTATCGATTCCTTTTAGCAGAGACATTTTCCCGCTAGATGGAAAAGTCAAAAACCTCTAATTCGCTCGAATATCAAATATGCGCTGGATGCCACGAAAAATATACAATTAAGCACACTTAAAAATATTTCTCTTGACATCAGCAATAGTGTATCGTCCCGCGCGCGTGTCGCGTTACCGCGATCTCGACGACCGAATTACACCTACGCGCGCTAGTTTCAGAGTAAGTAATTTTTTTATAAAATAACCTTCTTAAACCTATATATATATAAAACACATTAGTAGATCTTGACTGCGAATGTTACGATACGCAGCTGTCTTTCAGCTATGGCTTGCCGAGATCATCAAAAGCAAAATAATGTCAAAATTTTATAATTTATATTTTTTCAAGATTCAAATATTTAGGAAGAGAGACAGATAAAATAAACAAGATTTATTCGAACTACATTCACGTCCTGAATAACTACTTAGTTTCTAAGTACAATGTTAAAATAAATGGTAAAAAAATTAATTTTTGTATTAAGCAAAGAATCTGCGCCGAAAAGGAGGCGTCGACAGTTTCTTTTGGCAATAAAAATCAAGCTCAACCGAACTTGAATTCTTTCATCTTCGAATCTTTAAGGCGGTTGAATTCCTTCGCGAATTCTGGCATATTTGAAAGTGGTCCTATCACCCTGTACCTCGGCGGACTGTGAAGATTCTTCTCGATCTGAAGAGTCATTGCCTCGGACGTTATAGCGGAGCACCAAACCTGCGGACATTTATCATGTTGATTAAATTTTCGTAAGAACAGTATCAAGTTAAACGCGACCATTTTCCGTTAATGTCTATATTTATATATTTAAAATCGTGCAGTAATTTTATAACAACATGTGCAAAATTCAGGAAGAATAGTTGACGATGCGTCAGATTGAGACCGGGTAGCGACAGTTCATCCTCATAGTTTTTAGGCATCGAGAGATAAGCGTGATACGCTGCCTTAAGGCCCCCATTATCGGCGATGTTCTCTCCTATGCATTACAATTGAACGGTCAAAACTACGATATTTCTCTCATCGGTAAATAATTATTAATCATCAATATTATTACCCAAAGTCTGTCGGCCATTTACATTTCAACCTTGTACTTGATACTGATTATATTGTTCCACAAAACATTCTGTTCTATTTTTATATCGCTCTATCGCGGAGTTATTCCACCACTGATGCAAATTTCCATATATATCGTATTCTCGACCTGTTCAACATTACCGAAAATGAATAAATAATAAAGATAAAATTATTTTTAAATAAATGGATATAAATTTGAATGATTATATACATGGTGCAAATATTTTTTTTTTGCAAGTAAAATAATAATATTATTAAAATATAAGTTTTTATTTTAAGTGTGAAAATTTTGATATATGTAAAAAAAATTCAGAAGTTCACAATTTGGCTATAAAGTCAATTGTTAATTCGGAATAAATTTTTTTTACGATATGATTAGCTTACACGCATTTGTCATGACAAATGAACATTATATATTTTGTTTTTATTATAAGATTATATATAAAAATATTATCTGAGGCATTTAATTCATCTTTAAATTCGTACCATAATCATCAAAAGCGTGCGTTAATTCCTGTGTCCTATGATTGTACCTATACAAAGTCTGTCGGCCATTTACATTTCAACCTTGTACTTGATACTGATTATATTGTTCCACAAAACATTCTGTTCTATTTTTATATCGCTCTATCGCGGAGTTATTCCACCACTGATGCAAATTTCCATATATATCGTATTCTCGACCTGTTCAACATTACCGAAAATGAATAAATAATAAAGATAAAATTATTTTTAAATAAATGGATATAAATTTGAATGATTATATACATGGTGCAAATATTTTTTTTTTGCAAGTAAAATAATAATATTATTAAAATATAAGTTTATTATAAGATTATATATAAAAATATTATCTGAGGCATTTAATTCATCTTTAAATTCGTACCATAATCATCAAAAGCGTGCGTTAATTCCTGTGTCCTATGATTGTACCTATACTGCCAAAGTTCAAACTATTCGAGTTCTCTATATCGTAAAACGGACCCTGAAGAATGCCGGCGGGCAAGACGATTTGATTCTTCATAGGCGTATAATAAACGTTCACGGTCGGCAGCGGCATTATTCAAGTGGTTTTATCCACCACCTGATCAAATTTCTCGAAATTTTTACGCAAATTGTACTTATTAACGCGCAAATTATTATAAAAGTATTCATTCTGTTTGATCGCCAGATCTCTATAATGTTTGTCGAGTTCGCTGGGTTGTAGAATAAAGTCCGGAAAGCCGATCATGTCGGTAATAGCATTCGCCTTCTCTTCTGCGGCTTTTCTCGTCTCCGCGTCCATCCAATCTAGATTCTTCAGATTTTTCGTGAACGCATTGCGAACGTGATTGATCATTTCTTCCGCCTAAAAATAACGATCAAAACAAAATATTATTCTATAAATTAAAAGATGCATCTTTTACGAATTTTTAAAATAAGTTCAATATCTGAAAATCAGTATCGGATTCACACGCCATTCATGTTTCTGAAAATTTCGATATAATAAGTCCTGTCTTAAAACGACAAATGTTATTTTCCACATTGACTTGTACGGTTAAGAAAAATTGTAATAAGTAAGATTTTTTCTCTAAGATTGACACACTGATATATGTATACTAACCATAGGTTTACTCTTGCCGTGGAAAACTTCTCTGACAAACATTGCGCCAATAGCGAAACCCATGGCGTTATTAACATCGCTAACGCAGTAACGTCACTGTTCCTCGTGGCCTTCCGAGCCGAGCAAAGCTTTCCGCAAACCTTTGAAAGCTTCATGGAACGGCTTTGACAGGCACGCTGTCAAGAACCTTACGGTCTGCCAAATCAGATAGTTATTCAGTTTTCTGTGGAAAGAAAAAGGGGGTAGAGAAAAAATTGATGCTTTTTTTCGACGGAATCAAAAAAGATTGATAAATGCCTTGATATTTATCAGAGATCGTGCACAACAAAAATTAGAGGATTATTTATAAAAAAACAGTCGCTTTTAGATATATTATTAAATATCTAAACTTAAAATTAAATGTTTGTTAAATAAAGTCAATTTAATTAATTAATTAAACAACAAAAAATTATCTTTTATTAATTTAATTTTTTTAACACATCTGCGTTTCAAAGTAAGTTTGCCATCTCTGATGAATCTCACGCATACATATACGTACATCTTCCCGTCGATCGTGCTATTGTACTCATTCACGAGTTTCGTCAATTTCACAAAGTATTCCGGTGCAAAATTTACAATCATCGTTTTACTGTTGATCTTCTTATTCACAAAATGCGTAGCATTTTGAAAGTAATCCACCCATGACATCTAAACAAATAAGAATTACGTCTATCATAATTTTGTCGATATTTCTTACTCGAAAAAATAATTGTCCTGATTAAAAAAAAATATTTAAAATGTTTTTAACACACGTGTTATTAACAGGATATTACGTGCAGGATGCGATAAAGAGCTAACGATATTATATATGCAGGATACAGAATAAGACATTATCTCATCCAGGATACTATCATATGATATTATCGTATCATAGAGGAAATCATATTAGATGATCGCAAAAAATGTTGCAACAACTGGCTGCAAGTATTGGTCGCGTCCGCAAATAATGGGAACGCGAATATTCTGGAAATATTCTCGATCGAATAGGAGATAATAAACGTACGAAGGGTGCGTTACGTTGCAATTCGTTCAATGACATCAGATTGTAGAGCTTCTCCTCGTCCCTGCGTTCCTCGGGCGATATGGTGATCTTCGCAAGTTTCGTCTCGAAATCGATTATAGCCTGCATCTGTTTCTTCGTGGAGTTCTCCTCACCACCTAAGAGCACGCCGATCTGAAAACGTGCACGAGTACCTGTACCCTCGATTCGCCCGATGCGATGCAGCATATCGTGCAGCGATAAATCGTGCATGCAAATACGTGCTGCCCTTGTCTACCTTTGTCATGTAGTCCAAGTACGCAGCTACAATCTTGCCATGCTCGATTACGTTGAGATAATAGTTCGCAGTCGGTAGCGTTAAGCCTCCTTGATCAATCTTGAAGATAAAGATCAGTCTCGATATAATATTTGTATATATGACTTAACTGTCATTATGCGAAGACA